CTACAATGCAGGAACAAAAACTGCAACGCAGGTCTTCGCAAACCCAGGTCGGCCAACATGCGCGGGAGGGGGTCTTCGCAGGATCCTGCAGGATCTGGCGCCCTGGCTGACACCCGTTTGTCGGGAGCGGCCAATAGGGGGCTGTGATGAAACAAGAAGAGGCGCCATGGAATCTGGGGAAATATCATGGCCCCCGCCATGATGTCCACCCCCCCCTAGTCATCGCCCCCCTCTTTGCCGCCCCCGAGACACAAAGAACTGGCCACGAAATCCGGGATGCCTTCTGCTGCTCCATCTGCTGCGGGGTTCCGTCCTAACTTCCGCTCGGCATCGGGGATCTTCCGACCCGGGTCAATCCAGACCCGGGTCAGCAGGAATCAAAAAACTACAATGCAGGAACAAAAACTGCAACGCAGGTCTTCGCAAACCCAGGTCGGCCAACATGCGCGGGAGGGGGTCTTCGCAGGATCCTGCAGGATCTGGCGCCCTGGCTGACACCCGTTTGTCGGGAGCGGCCAATAGGGGGCTGTCCAAGAAGGGGGGGTGCAAATCATGACCGGCGGCATGTGCGCGGCGCGCGCGGGGGGGCCAGGCACGTGATGAAACAAGAAGAGGCGCCATGGAATCTGGGGAAATATCATGGCCCCCGCCATGATGTCCACCCCCCCCTAGTCATCGCCCCCCTCTTTGCCGCCCCCGAGACACAAAGAACTGGCCACGAAATCCGGGATGCCTTCTGCTGCTCCATCTGCTGCGGGGTTCCGTCCTCACTTCCGCTCGGCATCGGGGATCTTCCGACCCGGGTCAATCCAGACCCGGGTCAGCAGGAATCAAACAACTACAACGCAGGAAACAAAAAACCGCAACGCAGGTCTTCGCAGACCCGGGTCGGCCAACACGCGCGGCCGCCTCGCGGCCACGAGCGGCTCGCGGACCCGGGTCAGCCCGAGGGGGTCTTCGCAGGATCCTGCAGGATCTGGCGCCCTGGCTGACCCCCGTTTGCATCGACCCCCGTCTCAAGGCTCCCGAGTTCAGTGGACGCCAACTGTCGGGTCCGGGTGAGTTTTCCTCCCTCGACTGAGGTCCCTTCGTCTGTGCAGGGAGGTGGATGCTCTTCAAGGGGCCCACGGCCCAGACTTCCGGGCGCTCTTGGGCGCATCCGGGGAGTTCCCGCGCGTCCTCGCGCGACGCCTCTGGAGGGCATCGACGTGCAGCTGCGTCCGTGTCTCGAGCGGGCGGGCCTCCAGGCGGGCGAGCGGGCGGACACCCCCGCGGACGGACTTCGGGCGGGCGGGCCCCCGCGGGGCGGGGGCGGGGGCGGGGCCGCGGAGCGCGCGCCGCGCATGAGGACGAGGCCTCGGGCGAGAGCACGAGTCCCTAGCAATCTGTGCTGAGGCATCGTGCGAGGGCGCGACTCCTGGACCTCGAGAGCGCTGCAGTACGCTGCACTCAAGTCCCGAGCGAGAGGGGGATTCCCGACGAGACTGTGAAGAAGCGTCGAGCGACACCGCGGCTTTGAAGAAAGTGCGAGGCGGTGTCGGGCCGGAGTCCGAGGGGCCCGGTTTGAGGTTCAAGACTTTCCCTGTTCAAAGCCAGGGGGCGAGCCCTGGGGTGGGCATTCCAATGGAAAAATACAATGGGCACCGGACAGGCGGATAAACATGTCTTTTGGAATGAGAGCTATCATCAGCAGCGGCAGCAACAGCATCGGTCTTAAGCTCGTGACTCGCTGTCTTCTCTGCCTACTCATTATTATCATCCTCATCATCATCACCACCACCATCATCATCGCCCTCCTCCTCCTCATCATCATCCTCATCCTCATCCTCATCGTCGTCGTCATCGTCATCGTCGTTGTCATCACCATCATCACCACCATCATCATCATCCGCATCGTCGTCAGCAGCAGCATCAGCATCACTATATTAGTGATAGTACAGATGAAGTAATAAATTACTATAGTAATAGTAATGACGATAATAATGCGAATATTAAGAATGCGAATGCGAATAAGGATAGTAGTGTCAATAATTAGTTATAGCATAATTACAGTGACGAACATAGAAATAAAAATCCTAATACTACTAACAAAAAGAAAACTAAAAAATCAGAATACCAATCATAGAAATCATCGTCGTTCCACGTAGCGTTTATCCCAGCCCAGCTCCTCCGAAGCGATCATGTAGTCCCCGTCCGCGTCAATGTGCTCGAATACCCGCCTCAGCTCCGCAGAGTCGACGAGCTCCTTCTTGTGTTTCTCCTGGGCGAGCACCTTGTGGTCTGGTTTCGCCAGCTTCATCGCATTCTCCACAAAAATCCGCCACCGTGCCTGAGGGCACGCAGTGGAGTGCCCGAAGGCTCACACGATGGAGAGCGTTCGAACATTTGCCACGCAGCTGTCTAGTACATGTGGTACTGCTCGTAAAAATTGTTGACGACCGATCAGAGAAAGACAGGAAGCCGAGGGGGGAGGAGGAAGAGGAGGAGGAGGAGGAGGAGGAGGAGGAGGAGGAGGGGGAGGAGGAGGAGGGGGAGGAGTAGGTGTAGGACGACCGCGAGGGCTCACGAGCGGCGAAGAGATCCGTATCCGCGCCCTCGCGACTCCGCGGCGCCCATCCCGCGCATGCGCGGTCAGCGCGGCTTGCGCTCCGCGCGGGGTGGCCTCCGCGCGGAAGCGCCCCGTGTCCGCGGGGTCGCGGCCCAGGTGCCCAGCCCTCGTTAAAGGCTTAACGACTTCTGCCGTCCTTCGACTCGCGCTGGAGCGGCCGCGAAGTGCTCGAACTTTCCCTGGAGATCTCTGGATTTACCTGGATTTACCCAGATGTATCTAGATTTACCTGGATTTACCTCGATTTATCTGCATTTACCTGGGTTTATCTGGCTCGATTCTCACAAGTCGATTGGCGAAAAGTCGACAAGCCCTTAGGGAAGCCCGCGAGGCCGCCGATACGGGTGTGTCTGTCGCGCACGCCGAGGGGTGTGCCGACGTGGGCAGCGTGCTCGCGGGCGGCACCTCGGCGGCTGCGGCCATCCGAGGCCTCGCGGCCCACGCGCCGCGTGCGCGCGTCAGGTACGGCCGAAGGGGATGCAGAGTTGAGTGGTACGAAGACCGACTGCAGCTCATGTCCACTTTGGGCAGGGGTCGCTGTCGGTGCCGCCGCGGGCAGCGTCCGTTTGAGACAGAAGGCCGCCTGCCCAACAGCGGTCGCTGCTGGTTCTGGACAACATCTGGGCGACGACCAAAAACGGGCCTCACGCGAGATGACATAGAGACCTTGCGCGGTGGCTCACGCGGGCCGCCAGAGCGGCATGCTGCGTTGGAGACGAGGGCTCTCTCGCGCGACCTGACGCGGGCAGCCTAAGCGCCAATGACGGCGCAGACGACCCCCTTGACTGCGTCGCTCACCCGCGGTTGGGAATGGTACCCATGTTTCGGAAGCGGCCACGAGGGGGGCGTCCAAGAGGGGGGGTGCAAATCATGGCCGGCGGCCCGCGCGCGGCCCAAGGGGGGGGGGGCCAGGGACGTGATGAAATAGGAAGAGGCGCCATGGAAGTTGGGGAAATATCATGGCCCACGCCATGATATCCAACCCCCCCTAGTCATCACCCCCCTCTTTGCCGCCCCCGAATGTTCGTCCGTCCTCATCTCGGGCGTGCGCAAATGTGGGCGGCGGGGCGGGGAAGGCTGCGCGCCGGCCACTGGCCCCGAGGAGCGAAGAAGGCGTCACCGCTTCGCCGCCGCACTGGCCCGGATCTCGTCTGGTGGCGTGCCGGGTGCTGCCAGGAGTGCCCCTGGCCCAGGGTGCCCCCAGGATTTCCTAGGGCTCCCAACTTCGCGCTTCGCGCTCCGCGAAGCGCGAAGCGCGAATAACTTCGCGCTCTCGCGCCGCTCCCCGAAAGGGAGAAAAGGAGGACGAGGAGGAGGGGGCGAAGGAACGAGGACCGCGAAGCGCGAAGCGCGAATAACTTCGCGCCCTCGAGGGCGCCCTTGATTTCCGAGGCGGCCCCCACGGCCTCCAGGAGCACCCCTCACGAGGCCCCGAGGGCCCCTATGGGGCTCCAAAGAATGGAGCGGAAAGCTGGGGGCTCACCTTGGACCAGGGGCACCTGTGGCAGCCCCCGCGCGTGCGGTGCCGTGTGGCCCTTTACGATAGCTTCCGACATGCCTCCAAGACAGCCCCAAGACCGCCCCAAGACAGCCCCAAGCGGCCCTGGAGCCTCCCAATGACGCCCTCGAGAGGCCGAAATCTAGCAAGAGTGGCAAATCAACGTGTGCCTGTCCTTCGCGCCTTGTCGCTTCCGATTGGCGTTTGAGGGCTCGAGAGGGCTCCGAGATCGCTCGAGAGAGCCCCAACAGAGGGGCCAAAGAGGACTCCAAGAGATGGCCGCAGGAGCGCCCCAGGAGCGCACCAAGAGCGCTTCGCGGTAGGGGGGACCTGATGATTGAGGACCCCACTTCGTTCAAAGCCGCAACACTTTGAAAGCCTTATGTGTTTGACATGGCTTGGCATCTCAGGCATCCTTGGGAGGCCGTTAGGCCAAGGATGGCCCAATCGCAAAGATAGCCCAAGATCCCAAGGTGTCTCAAGATAACCTCCAACGTGCCTCCAGGAAGCCCCAAGACAGTCCCAAGACGGCTCCAAGTGGCCACGGGAGCCAGAAATGTTTCGACACCCTACGAAAAGTCACTGCTGTTGGCCTTCACACCGTTTCGCTTCCAACTTGCTTTTTAAATGCTAAACAGTAAAGTGCCCCCAATTTTTCGGGAGGGACCTAGGTCAAGAGGGCCAAAAACATTAGGGATATCGGGTCTTTCTGCAGATGTATCAGACCAAACCACCCGGATGTAGTATCCCTAGTGCGGAGACGGGCACCTCAGTGAGGCCACGTCTTCATTGTGTTACTAGGGTTAGCGGTTCTTTTGCGCTCGATGAAGCCTCCCGATGGCTCCAAGAGACGATTTGAGGGTCTCCGACGGGGGGGCCGTCTCTCAGCGCCAGTGGCCCGTTGAAGGCCCCAGGGGGCCCCAAGAGAGACCCAAAAGGCGCACACAATGGCTCCAAGAAGGCCCCAAGTGAGCTGCCAAGAGGCCAACATTTCGAAAGATTCCGAGACGACACTCGTGGTTGACTCTGGCTCTGCTCTTGCTGATCCCGAGCTTCGATCTTGCGGCTGCCCCCCCCTCTTTGCTGCACTGTTGGCTCCTTCACTTCCTGGCGGAGGTATCTGAAGCGTCAGGAATTCAACCAGTCGACGTGCGATTTGTCACACAAGTGCCTTGCGCTTCCACTCAAGGGCAGGGGACGGCAGTGACTTGCCTTAGGCGTTGTTCGATTCCGGTAACAATGTTCAGCACGGCAATCTGGATGAATACAATGTAGATCAGAAAGAGAGCTGCGGTTTTCCAACCAGTGCTTGCCAGCAAATCGTACACCTCGTACCAATCGTAACCCCCATTGGCTGACATGTACAGTGTCAACATTCCGGAGAGAGTGGATCCAAACATCTTCTTTGCATCCTCACTGAAGGGGATTTGCAATTCATAGAAATGTGCCGTAACCCCTTGGACGAACAGAATTCCGAACAAATACATAATAAACACGATAACAAGAAAACTCCATACCAATGATATCATCGAGCCAATGACAGAGTTCATAATCAGGCGTAATTCGCTAACGATGCGGAACATCCGTATGATGCGCAACACCTTCGCCAGTTTGAGAATCCGCAAGGACCTCATGAACGCAAGATCGGTCGGACCAGAGTCGGCGGCCGAGATCATCGCAGCGAGAATCAGGTCGACCACATTGAACACCACAAGCAGAAGATCAAAAATATTCCAGCGCCACTCGTCGTTGCAGAAAAAGTACAGCCTGTGAAGACACAGCTTGAGAAATATCTCCTGGGGCGGAAGGGCAGAGGAAGAGAGAACAGTAGAGGAACGACCATAAACCTTCGAAGGCCCGCGCGGAGTTCTCGGATCGGCGCTGGACCCTCCTCCCTGGCTCGCGGGGCGCGCCAGGGAAGCCGCTGGAGGCGCCGACCGGGAGGTCAATCGCAGATCCAAAGAGAGTTCCGCGAGGACCTTCGAAAGTGTACAGTAGGGGCGTTGACCTGAGGAACCCTAAATAAGGAACGAGGCCTCTTTCTCCCATAAGTTTAACTTCGATTTTCCATCGAAACCCTAAGCAAAACCAAAGGCGAACTGCAAAACAACTAAGGAACACCGAGCCCCTCCCCGACGAAAAGGGTTCCTTCCTCAGTGCCCCGGCTGTATGTCCACGCCGTGTCTCGCTCTGCGAAGGCCAGGCGGGGGAGGAAGGAGCGGGAGACGGGGCAAGCACGGGGAGGCGGGTGGGTAGAGATCGGGAGGAGGGGCGGACGGAGGAGAAGGTGCTGCAGCAGCCTGGGGACTGTGCGTGTCTCGGGGGTGGTGCGGTGTGCAGGGCCTGCTGCTCTGACGGTGGCCTGCTGCACTCACACACACATTATGTTGCATCCTCGGGGGACCTTGTCTGTCCCGTCGCGGCCCTGTCCGCGTCGAATCCGTGTCGAATCCATGTCGGACGCGTCGGATCCGTGTCGAATCCGTGTCGAATCCGCGTCGAATCCACGCCAAATCCGCGTCGAGTCCGCATCGAGCACGCGTCGGGCCCCAAAAAAGACACCGATTTTTGGGACAGGCGAGGTCCCCCGAAGATGCGAACACACACACACACACACACTCGAACCAACAGGGACGAGGCATGGGGAAGGGCAAGGAGATGGAGGCGCCATAGTTATGGGTGCGGGTTGCTGGACCCCGGGAGAGGGGCCTCCCGTTCGAGCCGAGCACACCCGTCCGACAACGCACACCCGTGGCCCCCACAGAAGTCCAGCAGCCCGAGAAGTCGAGGGCTCGCACGGGCACGGGCGGCAGCTGCAAGCCCGCGATGGTTAAAAGGGGTCGAGGGGAGCCGGGAGGGGGGGGGTGACATGGAGGGCGTGGAGGACGTGGAGGGAGGAGGGCGTGGAGGGCGGCGGGGGGAACGGGGACGAGGAGGGGGACGAAGAGGAGCACGGCGAGCGAGGAGGAGCACGATCCGCGGGACACAACCGGGGGAGGGGCCAGCTGTCGAGCAGGGTCGGGTGTTGCTAAGAGTGCCCCTGGCCCAAGCTGCCCCCGGGAGCCCCGAGGAGGCCCCCAGGGCCCCCGGGAGCACCCCTCACGAGGCCTCAAGGGCCCCATGGGGCTCCAAAGTTGCACGACAAGCTGGGGGCACCTTGGGCCAGGGGCACCTCCACCGACCCCCGACAAGGAGGGGGTGGGGCGGGGGCTTTCGAGCAGGGGCAGGAGACAGACTGTTTTCGTAAGGGTCAGGCGATAAGCCAGCTTATCGGGCTTGCCCCCCCTCCCACCCCCCAGGATGCTGGTTGTGCAGGTCTGGGGTGGAGGGGTGCGGGCATATGCAGGGCTGTCCACAACGCGAAAGTCAGGTTATCGGCCGGCCCCCTCCTCCCCCCCACGGATAACCCGGGTTATCTTTGGAGTTCCGAAACGGTGCGGTGACAGACCGTGCGGTGACCTCGAAATCCCCCAAGACCTCACCGCACGGTCCGTCACCGCGCGGTCTTGGGACCCCGGAGGCCCCTGTCGCCCGAGACGTCCTCGGAAAACGACCCGAGTCCCAAAACTGTGCGGCGACCCCGAATCCCCACCGACTAACCGCACGGTGTGGTCACCACATCGTTTGGGGGCCCTCGATTATCGCCGATTCAAGGAAAAAAATGCTTAAAAAGAGAGAGAACAAAAAAAAAAAAAAAAAAAAAAAAAACGGGAACGAGGCCCGAAGGGGCCCTCGTGCTGCCACCCCGCCTCCCGCGGGTGCTGGAAGCCCGCCCCTCCTCCCTCGGGCACCCGCGGCGCGCCGGGCCCCACGAGCGGTCCGGCAAGCTCGGCGGGACGCAGCCTTCGGAGGCAACTACTGGGTGGCGACCTGCAGGACCACCCCGACCCGACCCGAAGGCCCGAATTTCGGGTTGGGAGGGGGATATTGGCTCCATACGTGTTGTTGTTCGATGTTCCCCGGCCCCCCCCCCCACTGGAAATGGAGGGCAAAGTGAGGCCTTCGGGCTGGGTTGGGGTGGTTTGGTGGGTGGTGACTGGGAGGTCTCTTCGCCGGAAGGACGAAGGAGGATTGAGCCTGTCTAGGGGGAGCTGCTACGCCGGACCAGGCCGCGGAACTGTAGCGGGATCGCGGCGGACTGAGCCGGAGAAAGCGGGATTAGGCCGGATTCAGCCGCATTTCGGACCAGGGAAAGGTCGGAATTCGACCTCCGAAGCATCCGTTGCGAATCGAGGCGATTGGGGGCGTTGGCAGGCGAGGGGCGAGGAGAAGGAAGGCCGCGGGACGGCTGGAGAAGCCTCTTTCCGCGGGCACACGCCAAGGTGGGCCAGGGATCGGTGGATCTGGACACGTGACCGCCGAATCGTCGCGCCACTGCCGCCCGACTTGACGAAGCAGCGCGCCGGGTTGGTATGGAAACGAGGCCCGTCGCTCATCCACGCGCCTCCGTCAATGATTGCGTGTCCTCGACTCCATCACCCCCAATCATTGATCGCTCCCACCGCTATCCAGCTAGAACGATGAAGAGGGGTTTTCGGCAGTCCGGTCACCACCGCGTAGAACACCATGAAGCTGACGTTCACGGCGGCTATGGCGACCGTGGTCTCGCCGAGAAAGTTGCTGGGTTCGAGGTAGTGGCGCGCGTCGTAGTCGGTCGAGAAGATAGCAAAAACCTCCCTTCCCATTTTGGCACGCCCAGAACGGGTACGGAAAGAACGGGTCGAGTGCGCCCAACAGCACATGTTGTCCAAATCCGACAGCGGCCGTTGCTGGACACAGAAGTCATTGCCTCACGTGGACAACGTCCACGGCGACACCGACAGCGATCCCGGTTCGAATGGGCAAGAACTGCTGCCAGTCTTCGCCCCCCTCTTTCCGTACCCATTCGGACCGTACCGATTTTCCCTCTTCTACAGTGGAGGCCAGTCCACAACAAAAAAAACTCCCACAAGAAAACCAACCCTGAGACCCCAAGACGTCCATTGATTCCTGGTGTGGGAACGTCACGCCCTCCACAGCAAAACCATCGAAACCCAAAAATCCCAAGGACACCCTGGAGGCAAGCAGGGTGTTTCTTAGCAGCATGGGCCCCCACTGTAAAACAACGGCAGCAAAGATAGCGTCGAGGCTCCTGAGAGCGGGCGGCTCTGGAGCACGCCTAGGCCGCCGCAGCCTCAGCCCCAGAGCTCCTCCTCCTCCTCCTCCTCCTCCTCCTCCTCCTCCTCCTCCTCCTCCCCCTCCTCCTCCTCCTCCTCCTCCTCGAGGCCTGCGCGATCCTCCATCTGCCAATCCGCATCCCTGTTCCTGATTCGCACAGGCCCCGACTCTGCCAGCTCGCCGGCCAGTAGCGCCCAGCTGTGGGCCCTCCCATCTCACCTGCAAGAGATAGCAGTACTCTAGACTGCTTGCTCTCAACATGGAGACTCCGTCGTCCACGTCGCGGACTGCGTGGCAAAGGCGGGACCATGCGCACATCTGGCGCGAAGGGGCGAACTGTCTCTTGCGCCCCAGCGTCGCGGTCACTCCTCTGGAGAATTTGGCTCCCGCTCGGGCGCGACGCACGAGACATTTGCACGCCCACGCGGCAGCGCGCGAGCGGCCGCCCGCGCCACGCGGCCCGCCGACGTTCTGCTCCGCAGGCCCGAGCCGAGGCAGGCCGCGAGCCGCGCCTCCGGGGCGTCGCTGGGCGAGGCAGCCCGGGCAGCCGGACGGCTCGGGCGGCGTCGGGCGAGCGGCAGCACATGCAGCCTGGGAGACCATGCTGGTCCCGGGTCCGTCGGGTCGTCGCCCAGGCGTTCCACAGGGACCTCCGCACGGAGGTCCTGGACCCTGGGCGGCACCCTGTGCCTCGGGGCCGAGCCAGGCCACCCAGCGGGCGCGCGCTCAGGTGTTGTCGGAGTCGCTCTGGGCCCGCCGCAGCACCGCCGCTGTGCTCGCGACCCTCATGCCCCCCGAGGCGGCCGCCTCGAGATGGCGGACGCGAAGCTTGGCGGCCGTCTGCCGCGCCCTCATGTCCAGGAACCCGCATCGGGAAGCCCAAGGGGGCTAGGTTGCGCAAGTCCTCCGTGGACGTCCGCTGGGTGCACCCCGGAACCAGGCGGTCGAAAGCTGCCTGTTCCACGCCGTACCAGCTAGGCGACAGGCTGTTTTGCCTTACTATGGCCGTTTGATCTCGATTCTCCCAATGACTGCATCGCTCATAGCCCGTGAAGCGGAACCTACGGTAGGTGTATAAGTGTGCGCCCGACCCGAGAGGGGGGGGAGGGCGCGCGTTGCTTTTCGCACCTCACACCTCGAACACAGGTGCGGTAAAGTAGCGTTGGGTCGGGCATGTCCCCCTACAGGCCGATTTTGGAGGAAACCCAAAAAATGATCATAGATATTTAAAGATGGTCGAAGAAACAACCCCAAACTATTTTCTGTCTGTTGTTCGAATACTCCTCTTGTAGAGGGACATGCCCGACTTACCAATACCGTCAAGATCCATGACGGCCAGAGGGCTGGCTGCGGCAGGGCGGCGGCGGCGAGAAAGGACAAGGAAGGAGCCGTATAAAAATCGACTTCCGCCCTCCCTGCCTCCTCCAAACTCTGCCCTAGACCCTAGATGCCTCCTAGATGGGGTCCGAGTAGATGGGGTCGGAGGATCGCGCCGCATCGCCAATACATCGCCAATATATCGCCGATGCATCGGCGATGCATCGGCGACGTCGGCGATGCATCGGCGACGTCGGCGTGGAGGAAATCGGACCCCTCATCGAGCCGCATCACCGATGCATCGGCGATGCGACGTGATCCTCCGACCCCATCTACTCCTACCCCATCTAGGACCGAATCTAGGAGGCCTAGATACCATCCCATCCGCTCACGTTTCCTCCTCTTCGTCCTTTTCCTCGTCCGTCCCCGAGGGCACCAAAACATCAATGCTGCAACTCCCCGGGCTCCTCTTCTCAGGGTGCGCTACGGGGAGGATTACTCCGAAGTGAACCCAGCCGTGGTGACAAGGGCCCTCCTGGAGGCCCGAAACTCCAAAAAGAGGGAGGGATGCTTGGTAGGAAATGGCCAATTCCGAAGGCCCTGAACCCAAAACTGCTCACATCTGTAACTTTACTTGAACCGCCTTCCGCTGGCATTCCGCCGCCTCCAGCCCACCGCCGGTCTGCTTCCGGAGGCCTCCGCCAGCCGTCCGTCGGCTTCTAGAGGCGCGTTTCTCTATCCGCTGCCCAGGAGACCGCGTTCAGGGTGATCACCAGGGCGCAGATGGACGTCCATTCCTAGAGGCCTCCGAGATGGGGTCCGAGTAGATGGGGTCGGAGGCTCTCGCCGCATCGCCGGTACGTCAGAGATGCATCGCCGATGCATCCGCGATGCACTGGCGACATCGGCGGTGCATCGGCGACGTCGGCGTGGAGGAAACTGGGCCCCACATCGAGCCGCACCGCCCATGCATCGCCGATGCAGCGGCGATGCGGCGCGATCCTCCGACCCCGTGCGCTCCGACCCCATCGAGGAGGCCTAGCATTCCTTGCCGCTGACGAACGCGTGCAGGCAGCCGCTGCGCTCGGGCTCCTGGAGGTGGTACACCCAGTCGGCGCACGCGAACGCCCTCGGAAAAGGAGGGCCGCGGGGCGGGGCGAGCACACGGGAGGCGCGCGTTCCGGGCGGTGGTGGGCAACGGGATCGGCCTCCCAAGATGTCGGGGGGTTTTCTCAGAAGGCATGGGGTTCTTTATAGATACTGCTGAACATATGCCACATAGAGCAAATATGTATAGGTATTAAAGGTATATACACATCGATATATGTGTATGTATGTTTGTGTGTATGTATGTACGTATGTAGGTATGTATGTATGTATGTATGTATGTATGTATGTATAGTTGTATGTATGTACATGTATGCAGCCCCTCTGTCTCTAAAGCGCGTGCTGAGAAGCCGCCCGGCCCCTCTATGCAGACCCCAGCACTCTCAGCAGCCCTCCCCCATGCTCTCAGGGCAACACCCCCTGTAATGCCCACTTGTCCGCGCCACCCAAGAAACGAAGAGAGAGGGCGCACGACGCAGGCGAACACGAAGGGAGCGGGTCATGCAGGAAAGGAACCCTGGAAATGCGCCGAAAGCGGCGACGGTGGCGCAGTTCGCAAATCCCCCAGTGAGCGGCGCAGGATCAGACAGGAGATGGGGGGAGGAGAAGGAGACTCGCGAGAAGTGCTCTTTTCAAAGCGAACACCGAGCACAGGAGGGCTGGGAATCATCTGGGGGGCGGAAACAGACAAACCGCCTGAGTCACCCCCACAATTTGGGCGCGAATCCTGGAGCGTCGCTGGCGGCTCCTCCTCGTGGTGCCCAAGTGCCCGACAGAGGAATAGTCAGGGGGGCAGTTACAGGCAAACCGCCCGAGACATCCCCAGCCTGGGCGCGAATCCTGGAGTGCGCCCCCCCTGGCGGACCCCTGGGAGTGCCCAGCTGCCACGCCTACTATACCGCAGTGAGCATTGGACCCCCAGACAAGAAGTCAGGGGGCAACACAAATTTCAGCTGCGCCAGAAGCCTCCCGCACCCGAGGGTGCCCGCACCCACTTGACAAGGGGTACGGCGCCCCCCGCGCCGCCCAGCCTGGCGGCGCCAGCCTGGCCCGACGCGCGGGGGCGCCAGGGATGCAAGTGCCCCCAGGAGCGGGGGGGCGGGGCGAAAGCGCGCGCGCCGCCCGCCACGGCGGGACGCAAGCGCACATGCCTGCAAGATGCAAACACCAATGCCTGCACACCGCGCGACCCCGAGGCGCGCCGCGATCCGCCCCGACGCGACCCCCGCGGCGCGCCTGCACGGGGCGTTCGACGCGAAGCGAGCAAAAGAGCAAACGAGCAACGCGCATGACGTCGCTTCCCCCTCGCGCGCGCGGGCCCTTCGCGTGGGGCCGCGCGCCGCGAGGCACACGCCGTCGCCCCCCATCGCGCGCGCGCGGGCCCTTCGCGTGGGGCCGCGCGCCGCGAGGCACATGCTGTCGCCCCCCATCGCGCGCGCGGGCCCTTCTCGTGGGGCCGCGCGCCGCGAGGCGCAGGGAAGCGGGATGCGGCCCGCGCGCCCTGCTCGCCCGCCTGCGCGCGGGCCAGGCGCGGGCGCGAAATTTGTGCCCGCGCGCAACGCAGCACAGGCGAGCGCGCGCGCTTTCGATGGCGTTGGGCGCCCGCCACAAATTTCAGCTGCGCCAGAAGCCTCCCGCACCCGAGGGTGCCCGCACCCACTTGACAAGGGGTGCGGCACCCCCCGCGCCGCCCAGCCTGGCGGTGCCAGTCTGAGCCGACGCGCGGGGGCGCCAGGGATGCAAGTACCCCAAGCCGATGCATGCTGGTGCACCGCGCGGCGGCGACGCGCGCGGCACGCGCGCCCCCTGCGAAACGGGCGACGCGCGCGGCGGCGCCGCGGTGTTGTGACACGCAGCGGCGGAGGCGAACGCGCGAGGGCATCGCGCGACGCCTGGGTCGCAATTGCTTAGGCAAGTTCGTCCTCGGACTCAGCCAGGTGCGCCTCGACCACGGCGCCGAGTTCTAGTTGCGTCATATCGAGGCACGACAGGAACGCGGGCGAGGACCATTCGCCCGCTTGAAGGATCTCGCGCAAGGTGCCTCCCCTCTGCTGGAGGTCCAGTGCGTGCCCGCGCCGCAGGTCGTGCGTGCGATAGAGCGCCGCGTCTTTGACGCCGAGCTGACCGAGGAGAAAGCGCAGCGTGCTCAGCGAGCTGGCCGCGCTAATGTCCGCGAACGGCCTGGTGCCCACGGGCAGGTCCGCGAACCATGCGCCGAGCGCGTGGACCGGGCACGTCTTGGTGCAGCGCGCGCACCAGCACGCTCGCTGCAGCACGGACCCGAATTGCTTGTTCTTGCGGCGCGCCAATTTGAGCTGCAGGAGGCCGTCGCACAGAATGAGGGAAGCCCCTGCGCCCTGACGAAAGGCGACGCCGTCGAACGAAATGCCCAGGGCCTCCGAGGGAAGGCGCAAGAGAAACACGTACGTGACAAGAAAGAGCTGCGCGAAGACGGCGGACTCGTGCCGCTCTTTTGCCAGATTTAGCAGCGCGCAAACTGCGTCCTCCCTGATGAATAGGGCGCCCTGGGCAGGAAAGCGCCGCGCTTGCGAATCGCGCATTTGGCGCGGCGAAGGGGCGCGTCACGAAAAACGTCTACAGGGAGACCGCAAACCTGACAAGCCAGCTTGACGTGAGAGACATAATTGGAAAAAGTCTGGTCGGAGCGAAACAGCAGCGACCACGCGAGCAACCCGTCAGCGGACGGCGGCAGCTCGCGCCCGTGCAGCGCAAGAGCCTCGCGCGCGAACGCGAACCATGCTGCCACGCCGCTCTTGAAAGAGGCGATGGAGCGCGGGCATGCGCCCAGGAGGGCCGCTGCGCGCGCCGAAGACAGCCACTCAGCGACGCACGCTGGGCCTTCCTCGCCGTCGAGCCGCCGGCGAAGATTGCGGAGCTCCGCACGCGGGCCCCCGCCGCACTGCGGCGCGCGGGCCCCCTGCGCCTCCGCAGCCCTTGACTCGAGGAGAGCTTCGACGGCAACGCCCCCGGCGGCCTGCGCCCGCGCCGGCGCCGGCCTCTGGACTTGGTCTTCCACCTCCTGCGCGCGCGCGGGCGCGATGCAGCTGGTTCGCGGCGCGAAATGCGCGATCCTGAACGCTTGTCGCGAGTGCGATAGCTTCCCGAATGCACCGCTTTTGGCCGCCGTCGAGGTCCGCCCCCAGGAACTGGAAGTCTCTGAATTTGGCCCCAGCGAGCGCGGACGGGCGCGACGCGCTTTCGGCAGCGAGCGCCGCCGCGATCGCATCGAACCGCGCCGCGTCGTGCCTGCCAGGGCCTGCGGCTCTCTCCAGGAAGACTCGCATGGAAGCGGCGTGCCCGGCCATTGCCGTTTCGACGGTCGGCGCGCGCCAAGCAATCCTTCTGCCGCCGAGCCCTGTCTGCCGAGCGCACGTGGAGCGGCTGCGCTACGCGCGACCAACGCGGACGCAACACGAAAACGAATAAAACAGCATTTTGACACGCACGCCGACGCAACAGGATTTGGCGCGCAAGCCGAACTGTCGGCCGACAGTCGCTCACGCGCGGCGCAGCGGCGCCCGCGCAGCCGAAAGAGATGCCCAGGCATCGGGCTTCCAGAATGCCTCGCTAAGACTCGCGGCTGCACGAAAGAAGCGCCGATCACGCGAAGGCGCCAGCACTGCTCCCGCGACGGCAAATCGGCAACGTTAAGCTACGAGGGGGCGCGGTCGACGCGGAGCGCGACGCGCAACTGCGCCGCCTGCAGCCACAACGAATTGATGAGACACGTATAGTCCCACCCTTTGGAGGCGCCTTTCCGCGCGGCGGCTTCGGCACCGACGTTGTCAGACCAGAGGCGCACGCGCCTGCCCGCGAGCGCGTCGCTGAACGTGGAAAGGCCAAACGCGATCGCTAGAAGCTCGAGGGACATAATCTGCGCATCGCCCCTCTGCTTGAAATGGCGCAGAACGCAATCGGGGGGAGCCCAATCGGAGTAGGAGGCCCGCCCGTCGAGGAAGAGCACAGGCGCGACGCGGGGCGGCGTGCTGCGCGCGTCGACAAAGAGCTGCGCTGCCTCGCGCTGGTCTGGTGCCCAGACACGGGTCTCGAAGAGCTCCAGCGCTAAGACTTCTGCCCACCATTCGGGTGCGACGCGCAGCTGCTGCGGCACCACCACGCCGCACTGCTTCGAGTGGGCGAACAAGGGCCGGATGAGCGCGCGCCCTATGCGATGGAACATGCCCGAGCATGCCCACATCAGGGCGCCCGCAAGCTTTGCCGCGTCCCCGGCCGCAGAACGCCCGAGGATAGCGCGTCGCCAATGCGACCGCGCCACTTCTTGACCTTGTCGGGCGAGGGGGTGCACGAGAAACCGCCGTGGTCTGCGCGGACCTGAATGCCCAGGACGACAAGCGGCATGCCCGCGGCGACCTTGTCCGCCGCGATTGCAGAAGGGCCGAGGATGCAGCGCGCGAGCCGCACGATGCACTCGAGCGCGTGCTCGGCGCATGCCGCGCGCTCGGCGCCAAAGAGGTCATCGACGAAACGCAGCATCGGAATGAACAGTAGGCGACGCACAAGGTGCGAAATGAGCGCGCCGACACTCTCCCACGCATGCACGGACGCGACGGCGCCGCAGGGCATGGCCAGGTGCCATGCCACATGGGCCACGCCCTGCGCGAGGAAAACGAAGAACAGGAACCGGCGATGCATCGGCATGGCGGGCAGCCCACGGAAGGCCGAGTCAACGTCGGCTTTGTAGAACATGATGCGTTCGCGCGTGCCCTGCGCCACGCCCCTCGCCACGCGATACAGCGCATCGATGGACTCGGGGCGAAACTTCTCGCCTGCCGAGGTGCACCCGTTTACTTTCGCGCGAGTTAGATCGTCAACAGCCCGAACGCGCATGTCGCCATTGGACCGCGTTTGCACAACCCCGAAGCACGGCGACAATACGTTTGCACTAAGGTCGGCCTGCTCAGCCGTGACAGGCTGGGTCACGCGACCCATGCGCGCTTCTTTGAAAGACTGCTGCAGCAGCGTCGCGGAATGAGCGTCCTC